TCCTCGAAGCGCTCAGTGTCCAAACTGATTGGTCATAATCTCATCAGCAAACCAACTCCATCGTATTTGACAGAATTTTATATTCATTAATTTTCCAATCTATCAAATTTCTGCAAGACCTCCCAAATGCCATTCCCCGCTTCCTTTCATCATCACCAAATGTCTCTTTAACAGAAATGTCTTTATATCGAACTATAGCTTAAATCTACAAAACCTGTTTCTGTATGCTCCACCTTCAAGCCGACAAACCAACCAAAAGCTCAATCTACTCCCATCTCCAATTCTCCACTGTACGCAGTCTTGAAACTTGTCTTCTCCCATATAGAATATTTTCCACATTCCTTTACCATGTGGTCTAACCAATACTTTGGAGTACCATCCTCTATCCATCATGTCAAACTTCGCCCTTGCTCCAAAGGACATCTCTCTCCTTCATGAATTGTCACACCAGCTTTCCTTGAAGCGCCTTATTCATCTCCAACATAGATCTCAAACCCAATCCCCCTCACTTAATGGTCTCTTTGTCACATCTCATGTCACCAAATGATATCTACTTCTCTCCTCTGAGTCACTCCAGAAACCACGCATTGAATAGCTTCCAGTTTCTTGGCAACGCTTATTGGCACTAGTACAAGTAACATGTAGTGAATAGGAAGATCAGATAACGTGCTTTTTATAAGAGTCAATCGTCCTTCTTTGGAAAGCAAATTTCTCTTCCACCCTAACAATCTTCTCTAAAATTTTGCAACAATAGGATCCCACGTCTTTATGTCTTTATAAGTAGCACCTAGAGGCATCCAAACTAATTAATCAATAACTTCACCACCTTGCAACCTAAAACTTTTGCTAATCAATTAGTATCACTATCATCATCCAACCTAACCATCTTACACTTTGTAAGGTTAATGTTCAGGCTGAAAACAGCTTGAAAACAAAAGTAAAACACATATTAGGTTGAGCAGTGAATTTTCATCCAGTTGGCAAAACACCAAAGTATCATCCGCAAAACATAGATGTAAAACCTCCACAGGCGGTCTCTCCCTCTCCAACCTTGAGCCCTTTGAACAACTCCTATTTCCTAACCCTTAAAAGCAATTTGTTTAAAGCCTCCATGACAATAATAAACAAAAGGAGGGATAGGGTACCTTGTCTATAGGCACCAAAATACATTAAAAATAGAAAATCTAGAAAACCTAGAACAATAAGAAAATAAATTAAATAGAAGGAGACTAAAAAAGCTTCCTCTTTCCTTCTATTGTAAACAAAAAGACTAAAATAAGAAAATAAATTAAATATAAGGAGTTAGAAAATTAGAAAATCTTCCCATTTCCTTTTATTATAAACTTTTCTAAAGCTTTATTTTTACTATAAAAGGAAACTAAAATTATTATTCCTTTCAGTGAAACAAAAATTAAAATTTCCTCTACCATTTTGGGTAAAATTCTCCAAAATTGATTATTCTCATTTATTGATTCTGCATCAGGAAGGATTGAGGCTAAATACAACCGAGGAGACCAATTTATGCATCTTTCTCCTATTTCTTCCTCTTTCTGGAAAAAAGGAACACAATTGTTTTCCTTCAGACATTTTCTTTCTCTTTAAATGTTCAAAAAAGTTTTCAATCCTCTTTTGATAGTCAACAGTGCTTAATCTTAGTGTAGTCTCACCTTTTTTCATAGATAAACAGCAGCTATATTACAACTCTGAAAA